CAGATTCATAGCTGCTAATTTAAACAGACTTTCTCAGCATTCTTCTGGAAACTATAAAACTGATAAAATTGTCACAGAAGAGAATGCATAATGTATCACTGTTGCATTAAGGAAGAGATGCAAAATCTGAACAGCTATAAAGCTATCCATACAGTCAATGTTTTGACAATACACCAATGCACTTCATCAGAGCACATCCAGTAGCAAAGACATTTGCAAATATGTTGTATTCACTGCACTCAGGGACTGTGACCCTTCATCCCTGCTGTCTCCCCAGGGGCTGCCAGCAGGTCAGTTAATCCAGTCAGTGCCCCACTTCCAGTCTGAATCTGAATGACCTGCAAAGCAAGGGCTGTCAAAAAGGAGCTACAGGCTGGGTGCACCGAACTCAATGGCAACTTTTATACATCTGGAACACCATCAGGAATACTGCCCTGGCTTCCAGAATTGCTACTGACCCTTTAAACACTATATGAGCTATATAAGACTATATATTACACAGATTTTCTTTTTCCATATCAGTAGTAAATTGTCTACAGCTCTTCTGAAGTTTGCAATGCAATTACTCTGCAGCAGTTGGCAGAACAAATATGTGCATATTGCTTCAATTTCTTCTCTCTGAAACACTCTGGGATAAGTGTGAATGAGTGAAGAACACTCATTCCATCTTGCAAACAGACTGTTTTCTAGACAGATTTTTCTTCAGCTCCTGAAGCCTGGTCTCCTATTCTCTCTCAAGTAGAGCACTCAATTAAAGGTGCCAGTTATTCCCTAGAAGGTCCTCCCCACATTCTGTTCTTTTAAAAAAAAGTACACACATACCCCAAAAGAAACCCCAAACTTCTCAATTTCAAACATCAGTGAAAACTGCTATCTCACAGCAGTTCTAAAGCCCTGGCCAATGTCACCTGAGCCCTACCAAACACCAGAGTTTGACACATAGTCCATTCTTAGATCTGAGGACATCAATACAGTTTGGCATTGTGATACCAACAGGCAGCGAGTGAGAGAAAACTCATTTCAAACATATCTCACTGGTCCAAACAGAACTTTTTTTTTTTTTCCCCCCAGAAGTTCAGTCATGTGGAAAGTTCAGGAATCCAACTGTCCTTTGTATGCTGCACTAAATCTTTAATTTACTACCCAAACAGTATTCACTAGCAGATAAGAAACTCCAGTTCAATCCACTCCAAAGCACAGGCAAACAGTCGAGGAGAAAGAACCCTGGATATTTAATCTTTTAGACTTCTTCAGAACTCTTTAACAGCCAACTATATGCTACCCATCCAAATCAATCAATGCATCAATTGCCTAATCGTCTGCCTAAGCAAGGTTTCAAGTGTATTGACTAAAAGGCTTGTGAAGATGTGTGAAGTCTTTTCCTAAAGAGTTGCTATAGCAACTTTTTGTTTCTTTTTTCATATTACCATGGTTTGAAAAGTTTACATCCCCTGCAATTAAAGTATGTGTTGAAATAGCTGGCACACCAACTGTGTACATTATGAATTCTCTATTCACTAAATTAAAATTGCAAGGGCCAGCAAAAAAAAACCAAACAACCCTAAACAGCAATCCTTGAATGCAGGCAACAAACTATACTCAAGAAGTCAACAGTGATAGTTCAAGTGTACAAATAAGACATAACATAGAGCATTACATATAATTACTGTTGCATTTACTGGAATCTCCTGTTCTCAGACCTTCTTACTTGAATTCACTCATTTTTCTAACAGAAGTCTGACTTTTTTTCTTCTCCCTGTGTTCACCTTTATTCCTTCATATACGTCACATTGCTCTTCAAATCCACAGCCCACCCCAGCCCCTTTTGTTACTCTAAAGCATATACACATATACACTTCAGAACAGGGTAACCAAGGGGTTTGACTTACAAGAATTGAAACTTATGAATGCATCTAAAAAGTGCAGTCCAGAAAACAAAACACAAATGCAACCTGTCAGGAACAGCTTTGATGATGTTTGGGTAAACAGTACAAGCATGTTCCCATAATGAATTCCTCCCATGACTGCCTTTACTTCTGCTCAATGATTTTCAGAAGCAGCAGCCAGTCCTTAGCTTAATTGCAGTGCTCTTCTCAACCAAGCTTACAAATGGTAAGCATTCAAGTGACCTTGGCAGAGGCAGTAACCACAGCAGCTCAAGAGGCCAAATACTGTAAACAAAAGAATTACCAAAAAAAAAAAAAAAAAAAGTGAAAATAGCTTCTGTACCTGGCATGGAATTTTCTTTTAACTTGACATTTTTTTCAAGCAATAAATTTAACAGGAAGAGATCCTTTAAACGGGCAAGCAAGAAATGCAGAAGCATACAACACTACAGCTTGCTGGAGCAAATTATGCAACAGCAAGTTACAAAGGTTTTACACAGTTCAGCAAAACTGTGGGAGGCTTTGAAGTGTACCCATCAAGGGCTTTAAATGAAAACTTGAGATGCAGTCAGCTCTCAAGAACACATAGGAGAATGCCTTGATTCATTTTAAGTTGTTATAGAATTGTTTTTAGGGATGGAGTGATATTGATACTCAGTTTTAGCTGCCTCACTGGTAAGTGCAAAATCTGACAACTGATGTCAAATATTCTGTCATGTACTCCGATGCTAACTTCCTTCCATAAAGCACTTATTAACATAATGATGTTGAAACACTATCATCTGAGTACCAAAAAGTACCTCTCTGCCTGAGAAATAGTATGCAATTTTGTCTGCACAAATTAATAATTTCCATTGCTTATTTAAATATATTACAATTGAAATAAAATCAATATTTGTAAAAGTCTTAATATCCTCTGTCTTATAGAGAACACAGTCTCACAGGAGGGAGCATCCCACAAGAAATAACAAGGAAAAGGGAGTTAGGAAAATACAGCCAAGGTCACAAGTGGCAATGAGAGCCCAGGTAGATGTTATTTACTCATTAACACTTCCAACTTAAGTGCTAGCGAGCACATGATAAAGACAGTTTTGTAGCCAGGTTCAAAATTAACATCAGGACACAACTATTCACACAAATGGCAGCTAACCTGCACAACTCTTCCTCACAGAACACTGTGCATGCAAGAAATTTATGTGTAAGCTTGGGAATACAAAATCACTGATGATTCCTAAACAAAGAGAAACTCAGAAAGGCTCTAAACCGCAAGTATCAGAACTTTATGAAAACATCAACATACATTAGTTCTGCTTTCAGACCCTCTCCTAGGTACCTTTTTTCCTGACAGGTGGAGTTTCCATCTGTCTCAGTAGGGCTGTCTATACGGCCTCACATTCTCCAGATTCTGATCACAGCATGCAAGAAGGCATGTTCTGACAATAACCAGAGGCTTTAAAACAGATTTTGGCTTTGCATATCACTCAACCATACAGAGGGAACAAGTCATATTTGATTATAATTTCTGAGATCTACAATAAAATGGCTTTTTAATCCACTTTGATATAAAAGTTAAAGATAACAGCAATGCCAAACCATTAGAGTAAAACAAAACCAGAAAGATGCAAACTCAAGGCCTGTTATTCCAAGTTCGCTGGGAGTTATGATGCAGTTTAGGCAAGCAACAAGGGTAAGACAATAATTTGCAAAAAAAGGCTTTATATTTTCTTGCCTCACAGGAATGAGAAGAGGAATGATTGCATACACAGCTCAGTTCTCAAAGAGCTAACATGACACATTATCTCTTCAACACTTCTGCCAGGAGTTTTTCTCAAATTTTTAAGAACAAGAAATTTCTTCAATTACAAAGTTGCAACTTTTTTTTCTTCTTAAAGGGATTTTTTAAAAATTAATGGCTTATATTCTCCATGCTTCAATATTATTTTTGTGGCATTATTTTTGTACCAAGAAACACATTGCTGTTATCAAGGGCAGCTTTGACTGACCTTGGTGCATAAGAGCATCAAACTCAGTTTTGTTTATTAAAGATTTCTCTGTTCCATTTGTGTGCATTCTAACAGCCACAGCATCGCCAACAGCGAAGAACTCCTGAAGCTCGAAAAAGTCTGCCTTTTAACTAAACATGGGATACAGCAATTAAGGTTACCTATGTAAGTACTGCCAAAGCTTTACTGGCAAAAAGAAAAGAAACTGGTGGGGATTTCTTTGTTTTGTTTTAATTAAGATGACTATTATCTAACTCTCAGCTGGTGACCTTTTAGAAGTGTGAGCTTTACAAAGCTGGCTTCTGAGCGGAGGGCTCGGACAGTAATCATAAGTAAGCCATTCACCGCTTTCCGACAGTTTTCGCTCCGGCAGGCAGGCAATACAACAAGTTACAGTGCTCTGCTAAAGCCTCTGCTCCAGAAGCGCTTTACAGGGCTTTTACCCTCCCCACACCATTATTGCTGGAAACTCTGTGAACCACATTAAATTAGCAGCAACGTCAGGAGAACTTCAGCTACTGTGAGATGCAGTTTTGTTTGGTCTTTGGGAATTGCCTGGGAGACTTGGACCAGAAGAGGGGCAGCGAGATGGAAGTTGCTTCCTTCTCACGGGCTGAACCCGACTCGCTCTGCGAAGGTTCCGAGCTAGCGGCCTTCGCTTACAAAACAGCCCAAAGAAACTGAAACAACCAAAAAAAAAAAAAAAAAAAAAAAAAAAAAAAACAAGCCACAACCAAAGCCTTGAGGAAGCAGCGCTCACTCTTCTCTGCGGTCTTCAACCCACTCGGTGAACTCCGAGGGCTCAGCCCACCTGCTCCTCTTAACTTTTTTACGTGGCCACGGCGGGGCAAGTCAGTAGCGCAGCCAGCGCGGCCCTCGGTGCTGAGGCTGCTCCCCTCCCGCCCGCCCCTCGCACCAACAGGTACCACCGACACCCCGAGCCCTGGCAGGGCAGCGCCGCCGCCCGAGCAGGAACAGCCCCGCGGAGCCCGGACACCTCACCGGGGTAGCGCTGCCCTCCGTCGCTCTCGTCACGCTGGGCCATGCCCGACGCGCCCCACAGCCGCTGCTGCGGGACTAAGAGGCGGCCGGCGGCTGCGGCGGGCAGTCCATGTCGCTGCTCTCCGGTCCCCGCGGAGCAGCGCCGGGCTCAGCGCGGCTGAGGCGGAGCAGCCGCCCCTCGCCGGGCACCCCCTCGGCGTGGCGCGGGGCCTCCCATGGCGCCGGCGGTGCACACCTGGCTGCGGGACAGGTGCCGGGCTCCTCAGGCGATGCTCCAACCCCCGCAGCTCGGACTCCTCCCGCCCCGCCTCCGCTCCCCCTGCCCGGCTCGCCGGGGCAAGCCCCGCCCGCCGGGAAAGGGAACGCCTGCGCGAAGGGGGGCGGGGGGCGGCCGTCGCCGGGCGCCATTTTGAATCGCCTCAGCGCCCGTGGCGGGCGCGTGGTGGTGCCCGCTTGGCTCTGCAGCAGAGGCGCCCCGGGAGCGGGGCTGTGGCTTGGGCGCTGGTTCTGAGGAGCCCTCGGAACAGAGGGAAACGCGGCCGTGGCTGAGGGCGTTCGTTCTGAGGAGCCCCGGGCTCGGCGGGAGCCACTTTTTGGCCGCCAGGTGCTGCAGCCCGCCCCGCGTTACAGCCGGTGCCGGCGGGAGGCCCTGGCCGTCCCCGGGGGAAGCAGGTGGGCGGGCGGGCTGCACTCGTGTTGCCGCCTGCGTTTAGGGGGAAAACAAAATTCCGTGTGTTTACAAGTGTGGGCTACGGTACGTGTGGAGGCATCACTGCAGGTGTGTCCCTAGCTCTGTGGAACTCTGGCGTTACGCTGTGCAATGCCAAAAGTGGAAGCTCTGGGGTGGTAATTGTGATTTTTGTATTTTTATCTTTCCATTCTCTTCACCTTCCGTCTCAAAGTGCACCCTTTGGCCGTTCGCTGTGCACACCCTGCTCTGCCCCCACACTGGTTTCCGAGCAGTCAGCACCTGACTGGAGCAGAGCTGTCGTGTTTCCTTGTCATCTGTGAAACTCGGCACTGCTGTTTTCTGCAAAGGTCATGTGTCTTGCACCTCGAGTCGGTGATCATGTCTCTAGAACAATGGCAAGATAAAGCTGTCCCCCATCTGAACCGAGGATTTAAGCACTCTTGTCAACTCACACCTCTCGTGTCCACACTGAAGCTGATGTGTGAGGGCAGCAGACGCAGAAATATCTGAACTTGTGTTGGTGTGACTGGTTCGTTATGAAGCTGTGCAAACCCGTGATTATTCAAGCTTTGATATGGGCAAGTTACACTTGAATGAATTGTGAGAGGCTGAGGTAAACTTGTACTGGAGTACTTGCCACCATGACCCCGTTGACACCAATTCCATACTATGAAGATAAGAACTAAATTGTTATGAGACTGCTCTGAAAATCTACCATCAATCAAAAATTATACCTCTGCAGATAGCTTGTTTCTGTGATTGGGTGAGTCCTTAGTCTGCTGTATTTCTTTTAAGACTGGCACTAATTTTTCCCTATCTTCTTTTGAAAATGACTATCTCTGTAAGAGAGCTTCCATATTAAATGTAAATAAATAAAAGTAAACAAAAGCAAATCAATTTTGAGGCACTATAAACTTCTTTATTTGCAAAAGATTTTGGAGCATATACTGTCACTAATTCCTTTTTCCATATTAATTTTTTTTCTTCTGTTTCTGAGAGTATGAATCAATTCTTCTGTTGGAGCAACCAGAAGAGAGTATTGTCATCATGATGTGTCACTGTAGCTAGGCCAGTTGTTTGGTTCCCAGGGTAAATAAAAGAATGGAAAGAGTCTGGAACTCTCTAATTCTGCAGAGTACCTGCACAGGAAATAATGATACTCCCAGCTTAATATAATTTAGGCTGAAGAAACAATTAGAAAAACCTGCTGCAGAAAATCTTTCAGCGGTAGCTGAGCATGTGGAAAGTCACAGAAATTGCAGCCTAGTCAATATAAAAAAACCACCCCTCTATTGCACATGAACGGCTGTGCAGCTCACAGGAAAGGGGAAGCAGCATTTCTGGTTGTCATGAGCTGTTACCAAAAGGTGTTTTGCATTAGAAGTTAGCATCAGTCTGTTCATGTCCCAGACAAGATAAATTTCTGTCTGCAAATGTTGTGCATTATTACTTCTTTGTTTGGGGAAAAGCTGAGGGGCTCACGTTGTGACTAAATGCTGCTAAACGTCACGCCACTAGCTGTGATGAAATGCGGCATGTGCTAATTACTGAAAGGAAACAGAACAGGTACTGCCAGGTACAGGAAGTCTAAAAGCATAACTCAGCATAAAGGGGACCTTTAGCACCTTTCTTTTGCAGCAGCTGTGCAAAATTTAAGGTCCACACAGAAATCAAGTCTTCTTGTTTAAACACGTGGGTTGTAAGTAAATCCTCGGAAGTGTGATAAGAAGTTAATTGTGGCACATAAAATCAGCATGGTTATTATCAGGCTTTTGCCACTGATTCAGGGTCAAGTAAACCTGCAGCACAATTTTATAAAAATTATTGGAATAAAATAATTTTTTGTTTAAGAGTGCATGCAGCTCTTGTGTAGAAACTAAATGTTACACAGAGCAGCCTCAAAGTGGCAATTGATGTTCACCTAGTGGACAAAAAAACTTCTGCATGTCTAATAATAGACTGGTGCTAGAGAATTTAATTTTTTAAAAAACATTCTGTTCAAAAGCGCTGTCATACAGACTCATATTCATGCCAGCAGAGTTTGATATCCCATTTTAATGGTTATTCTGCAAGAAAGCATGAAGAGTTTTTGCTCTCCTGTCTTGGTCATTTCTCCAAAATATACAACATATGATAAGAGTACACCAAATGCCAGTCCTTCCTCTTTTTCATTAGAGCCAAGGAACAGAAATGCAAGTTTCTGTCATACTTCTTATGCCTGTAGATGTGGAAAGCATTCTCTGCTTAGGCTTTCAGTTCTATTTTGAAGCTTCAGCAATTTTGTAATTGATACAACTCCAAATTTATTTTTTTAAGAGCTAGATGAGAACATCTAGATTGCATTTTCATTCATCACAAGCCAAGTGTGATGCAAGCAGCTTTCAGAGCCAGCCAAACTGAGCTTCATTTGAATCCACTGTGCAGCTCTTGAAAGTCAGTAATTCTCTTCATAAGCCAGAGGACATTTTCTTTAGTTTAAAGAAAAGATTAGCATGTTGTGAATGTACAGCAGTTGTGCATCACTGTGAGCTGACCAACAGCTCCTGCTTCCACTTGCCATCACTGTGATTTAAGGCACTTCCAGCTCACCCCAGCCTGAGTGCAAGGGTACCAAGTGTGGCAGTGCTGGATACTCCCAGTTGTTATCCATCATGCAACGAGACAGCAAGACAGGAGACATTGCTCCTTTTCCTGCTTGCTTTCCAGAATTACCTGTAGGCTCAGTGAAATAACCCATGCATGTTACATGGCACAAGAAAAGGGAACAATGAATATATTCAGGTTTCTACTGACTCATAGCAATGAAAAGGGTAATAATTCTCTGAAAAATTCAATACCTTGGAAGCAAATGGTGATGCTTTTGAGGAATGAATATTATGCTCTTCTACTTCAGATTCATCAGAAATTAATTTTGTTCACACAAAACTATTTTTGCCTGTCTGTATTTGATAGCAGTCCATTTTCAGCATGGCCACCATCTGCACGGGTATTCCTACTAGAGGTGGACTATCTGTACACCAGGCCATTTTAATAGGTTTGGGATGAATCAGGAACAGCTAGAGAACATGCTGCTTGATTATCCCAAAAGGGATAATCCTCTTCCTGTAGGATCTTAGACTGGTAAAGGATGAGGAAGCTTGATCTATAGCTACCATCACTTCTGTTTCCACTGGGTGAGAACAGACTGAGATGGTTTACCTCCATGAGACAGCAAGAAAATGAGGAGCTGGAAAGAGGGGGGAAAGTGTGTGAGACTTTCCAGCACGTTTGAACTGATATTACTGAAACATGATGTGTGACAGGATTGTTTCTATCGCTGTCTACAAGCTGCTTAGGAAAGACAACATGAGTAATAAGGTGTGAAGGAGCAAAACTATATCAACTAAAAACATTACTCCTTGCATAATATCTCAGAATTGCAGAATCCTGAGTGCCCATAAATAATCACTCGCGAAGCCTCCGTGGTACCTCTGTTACAGATCTTCGCTCATCACTAAATCATGCCAGACAAGGAAACATGGTTGTTATTATGCACAGCTGCATAATGAAAAGCTGGAGTTCTATAACAGATTTATTCTCTTAAGCAAGCACTATTTAAATTACATTTCCAAAAGAAAATAGATCGATTCTGGAGCAGTTGCCAACGTGGCAACATCTACTGGAACTCACTACGAAGGAAGAAAGAAGTACTGGACTAAAAATCAATTGTTGTCTAGACCTAGTAGGGATGAAGGAAACTAGGTAACATTCAGTCTGGGCAGGTAACAGAACCCATTATTATGTCTCCGTGGAACTGCAGTGATTCAAGGAATTTCATATTTTTGTACTGAATACAGTAACAGGAAAAATATTTAAAACCCATGAATGACAACTTGGACTTCCTGAAGAAGACTTTGTTGTCAAATAGATGAAGGTTCCAGAGGCAAATGATTGAGGGCTACAACTGCACTGCAAAGTGAGGACCATTAGAAGCCAAATAGCAATGAAAAAATTAGAAGTGTGAAATGTAAGAAAAAAAGTAAAAAGGCAATATCCTACTAAAAGGGTATTGGAAACATAAAGGATGTTCTTAATATTCATCATTGCACAAATAAAGTAACTGCAAAAATGAAAAATTCCACACCAGTTTCTGTCCTGTATCTGTAAGGGATTAGCCTGGCCCATCATAGCCGGTAGAGATTAATGAGGCAAATTACTCTTCAGACAGCAGGCCTAAACAACACACAAGCTGTACTTTTTTTCAAACATAAACTGGGGACGAGTAAAGGAAAAAACTACACAAGTTTGTGTGGGTCATTACATAATTTTTTGACACGTGTCTAATATGTCCCTAAAAATCTGTAGCGGTGGAAGTGGCATCCCTTTTTTTAGGCAGTCCTTATGTATTTGCTTTCAGTACTGCTACTGTACTGTACAGTTCTTTGCTTGAGCATTTCCATGGCTACCAACAGGAAAGCAGAGATGAATCTGAAAATGCACTCATCTATACTTTTTAACAGTATTTTTACTGCTTAGAAGTAAAAATAGTTTTAAAAGAAATTCAAGAATTTGAGAGTTCTCAGTTTTATGAGAGTTGCTGCTTCTCCTGTGTCTCTGTTTGCTTGCAGTGAGTAAAATAAGGCCTGTGCAGAAATGATTGGCAGTTAACCCTTCATCAGCAAATCCCAAAATCTTTATGTGACAAGCAGTTGTAGCACTATTAAATGGCTGTTACTGCTGTTAACAGAGGGATCCAGAGACTTTGTACTGCTTTTGAAGCCCCTCGTTCTTGGATTAGTGCAAATGCAGTAATGACAGCCACTGTCCTTCCAGAATCATCTGCCTTACAAGAAGGCTGTCAAGGCAGAAGGCAGCACTCATGGCAGCCTCTCAGCTCAGCCTCTGCCCTCACTGTTTACAGGTGAAGTTGTTAGACATGGATGAAGTAGGGCAGGGACACAGTGTTTTGTCTCTCAGTGGCTTTTTCTCAGCAGCATGTTGGCCCACTGTCAGCTCTGTCAGCTGGTTTTTCCCATTCATCCCATTATCATCCCATCGGAGCAGAGGTCGACTATAACATTTATAAGCATTTGCATGTAATACTACATTTGGAGAGGAACTTGAACAATGGAACAGAAGTCTTACAGTAGGAAGCTAAAATGTATCAGTAAAGACTCCTTTGTTCCAAACCTCTGGAGTCTTCTTGCTATTAGTTTTACAGGTAATAAAAGAAAATTATGTGAGATGCTGTATGTGGAAGGTAATGACTAATTCATTGGGAATAACACTTAACTATGCTGGTCCTGGCAGGGAAAGAATGAGTTAATGTGAAGGAATCCTGGCTTTCCAGAAGGTTCACTGCCTTCCCTTATTCTCACTTCAGACACTCCCACGAAGGCACAGTGTGACATGCATTTCCAGCCAGCCTGTCCTACCATTGACAGATGCACTTTTTGCATGACAGAAGCATTGTTTACACTGGAAACTAATTCTTTACAATATGTGTATTTAATATTAGTTCAAATACAGGAATTGAAAAGCCTGACTGACGAAATGTAGTTCTTTTATCAAGTATCTTCTATAAATGCAATGAAAATATACTACTGCTATATTTAAGAAATAATTGAAAATAATGTATGCCTTTTAAAGTTTCAACTACCAAGTTTGAATAAAAGTATTCACCCAAGGACTCTACAGAGGGACTTCCATTACTTTCAAGTGAGTGTTTCCGTGTTGTTTTCACTGAACTTCTAATTCAGCAGAATTCATTCTACAGAATCCCAGGTTACTTTGGCTGCAGACTTACAGCACTAAAATACACAAGGCTCTACCAAGTAAAGTATGAGCTGTTGGGGCTTTTTTTCCTTTTTCTGAAAGGAGGTGCAGCCATGGAATTAGTGAGATACTTGATGGCTGA